AAAGAATATCCTGCTAAAGAATGCATGCATCAACTGGGAAATTAAAGAACTTAAACAATTCATGCAAACTAATGAAAATGAAAACACATCAATTCAAAACTTATGGGGTACTGTAAAGGCAGTCCTAAGAGGGAAAGTACATAGCAGGCCACACTCCTCTCAAAAAATTGGAAAAATCCTAAATACACAAGCTAACCTCTCATCTAAAAGACCTGGAGAAAGAACAGCAAATAAAGCATAAATCAAGCAGGAGAAGAGAAATAATAAAGATTGGAAAAGAAATCAATAAAATAGAAACCAGAAGTACAGGAGAATAGATCAACAAAAGTAGAAGCTGGTTCTTTGAAAGAGTTAATAAGATCAACAAACCTTTGACCAGACTTATCCAAAAGAAAAGAGAAAGGACCCAAATAAATAAAATCATGAATGAAAGGGGAGATATCACAACCAATACTAAGGAAATATAGGTAAATATATGTTAGAACATATTATGAGCAACTATATGCCAACAAATTAGGCAATCTGGAAGAAATGGGTACGTTGCTGGAAACTTATAAACTACCAAGACTGAAACAGGAAGAGGAAGAACATCTGAACTGACCAATAACCAGCAAGGAAACTGATGCAGTAATCAAAACCCTCCCCCAAAAAAACAAGAGTCCAGGGCAAGGTGGCTTCCCAGGGAATTCTACCAAACATTTAAAGAAGAAATAATACCTATTCCACTAAAGTTGTTTCAAAAATAGAAATGGAAGGAAAACTTCCAAACTCTTTCTCTGAGGCCAGCATTACCTTGATCCCAAAACCAAAGACCCCATCAAAAAGATGAATTACAGGGGCACCTGGGTGGCTCAGTGGGTTGAGCCTCTGCCTTCAGCTCAGGTCATGATCTCAGGGTCCTGGGATCGAGCCCTGCATCAGGCTCTCTGCTCAGCAGGGAGCCTGCTTCCCCCTCTCTCTGCCTGCCTCTCTGCCTCCTTGTGATCTCTCTCTGTGTGTGTCAAATAAATAAATAAAATCTTTAAAAAAAAAAGAGGAATTACAGAGCAATATCCCTGATGAACATGAATGCAAAAATATTCACCAAGATCCTAGCCAATAGGATCCAACAGTACATTAAAAGGATTATTCACCATGACAAGGTGGGATTCACTCCTGTGGTGTAAGGTTGGTTCCAGAAGGTGATACTGGACGTCCTAGCTAATACAGTAAGAAAAGGAAAGGAAATAAGATGTACATATTTTGAGAAGGAAGAAATATTATCCATGTTTGCAGATGATATCATTGTCTATGTAGAAAATCCCAAAGAATCAACAAAAACTTCTGAAGCTATTAAGAAACTATAGCCAGGTGGTTGCAGGATACAAAGTTAATACATAAAAGTCAATTGCTCTTCTATATAATAGCAATGAACACTTGGAATTTGAAATTTAAAACATAATACCATTTATATTAGCACCAAAATAACTGAAACACATAGGTATAAATTTAACAAAACATTTAAATGATAGCTGGAAAATCCCAAAGTATGTGGAGATTAAACAACAGACCTCATATGTTATTAAATAACATATGAACCAAATAAGAAGTCACAGAATAAATTTTTAAATGCATTGAACTAAATGAAAATGAAAATATTACACAGCAAAATCTGTGGGATATAAAGGATCTATGTGAGGAAAACTACAAAACTCTGATGAAAGAAATCAAAGGATAGCTACATAAATGGAGAGATATTTTATGTTGAAAAGAAAATTTAATATTATTAAGATGTCAATTATTTCCAAATTGAATCTATTGATATAGTTCCAATGCAATTCCAAAAAAAATCCCAGAAAATTATTTTTTGTATACTGACAAACTGATTCTAAAACTTACATGGAAAGGAAAAATACCCAGGGTAGCCAACAGAATACTGAATAAAAACAAAAAGTATTGATACTAGCTGATTTTAAGACTTACCATATAATGCTACAGTGTTCAAGACAAATGGTGTTGTCTGAAGAATAGAAAAATAAATCAGTGGAACAGAATAGAAAGCTTAGAAATAGACCCACACTAATATAGTTAACTGATCTTTGACAAGGGAACAAAGGCAAATCAATGGAATTGGGAATCTTTGCAGCAAACGCCCATGCTGGAGCAAGTAGACATCCAAATGTAAACAAACAAGCAAACAAAAAGAATATACATGCAGACCTTACACATCTCATAAAACTTAATCCCCAGAATGAATCAATAGATATAAATGTAAAATGCAAAATTATAGGGGTCTCTGGGTGACTCAGTGGGTTAAAGCCTCTGCCTTCAGCTCAGGTCATGATCCCAGGGTCCTGGGCTCGAACCCTGAATCGGGCTCTCTGCTCAGCAGAGAGCCTGCTTCCCTTCCTCTCTCTGCCTGCCTCTCTGCCTACTTGTGATCCCTGTCTGTCAAATAAATAAATAAAATCTTTTAAAAAACTGACACCAGAGATCAAAACACACATTTCTCTCACCAAAAAAAAAAAAAAGAGGGTATACAAATGGCCAACAACAACAAAAAGAACGTATGAAAAGATCACAAGATATTCAGGAACTGAAGGTTAAAACAATGAGATATCACTATACACCAATGAGGGTGACCAAAATCCAAAACATTGACAATACCAAATGCTGCCAAGGATGTGGAGCAACAGGAACTATCATTCATTGTTGGTGAGAACACCACCACCTTGTAAAACGTTTTGGCAGTTATTTAGAAGACTAACCATGGGCTTACCATATGATCCAGCAATTGTGGTTCTAGCTACTTACCTAATAAGTTGAAGACTTTGTCCACAAAAAAACCTGCATACAAATATTTATGGTAGCTTTATTCATAACAGTCCAAAATTGAAAGCAATCTAGATAGCTCTCAATAAATGAATGGATAAACAATGCATGGTACATTGGTAGAATACTTTGAAAATATTGTGGGTTTGTTAAGATGTCTATACTGCCTAGAGCAATCTATACCTTTAATGCCATTCTGATCAAAATTCCACCGGTACTTTTCAAAGAGCTGGAGCAAATAATCCTAAAATTTGTATGGAATCAGAAGAGACCCCGAATTGCTAAGGAAATGTTGAAAAAGAAAAACAAAACTGGCAGCATCACGTTACCTGATTTCAAGCTTTACTACAAAGCTGTGATCACCAAGACAGCATGGTACTGGCATAAAAACAGATGCATAGACCAGTGGAACACAGTAGAGAGCCCAGATATGGACCCTCAACTATATGGTCAAATAATCTTTGACAAAGCAGGAAAAAAATCCAGTGGAAAAAAGTCTCTTCTTCTTCAATAAATGGTGCTGGGAAAATTGGACAGCTATACGTAGAAGAATGAAACGCGACCATCCTCAAAGATACCATACACAAAGATAAACTCAAAATGGATAAAAGACCTCAACGTGAGACAGGAATCCATCAGAATCATAGAGGAGAACATAGGCAGTAACCTCTTCGATATCAGCCACAGCAACTTCTTTCAAGATATGTCTCCAAAGGCAAAAGAAACAAAAGCAAAAATGAACTTTTGGGACTTCAAGATCAAAAGCTTCTGCACAGCAAAGGAACAGTCAACAAAACAAAGAGGCAACCCACATAATGGGAGAAGGTATTTGCAATGACAGTACAGACAAAAGGCTGATATCCAGGATCTATAAAGAACTTCTCAAACTCAACACACACAAAACAGATAACCATGTCAAAAAATGGGTAGAAGACATGAACAGACACTTCAGTGAAGACATACAAATGGTTATTAGACACATGAAAAAATGTTCATCATCCCTAGCCATCAGGGAGATTTGAATCAAAACCACATTGAGATACCACCTTACACCAGTTAGAATGGCCAAAATTTGCAAGACAGGAAACAATAAGAGTTGGAGAGGATGTGGAGAAAGGGGAACCCTCTTACACTGTTGGTGGGAATGCAAGTTGGTGCAGCCACTTTGGAGAACGGTGTGGAGATTCCTTAAGAAATTAAACATAGAGCTTCCCTATGACCCTGCAATTGCACTACTGGGTATTTACCCCAAAGATACAGATGCAGTGAAAAGAAGGGCCATCTGTACCCCAATGTTCATAGCAGTTATGGCCACGGTCGCCAAACTGTGGAAAGAACCAAGATGCCCTTCAACGGACGAATGGATAAAGATGTGGCCCATATACACTATGGAATATTATGCCTCCATGAGAAATGATGAATACCCAACTTTTGTATCAACATGAACGGGACTGGAAGAGATTATGCTGAGTGAAATAAGTCAAACAGAGAGAGTCAATTATCATATGATTTCACTTATTTGTCGAGCATAACAAATAACACGGAAGATATGGTGAGATGGAGAGGAGAAGGGAGTCGAGGGAAATTGGAGGGGGAGATGAACCATGAAAGACTATGGACTCTGAAAAACAACCTGAGGGTTTTGAAGGGGCGGGGGGTGGGAGGTTGGGGGAGACTGGTGGTGGGTATTATGGGGTATTATGGAGGGCACGTACTGCATGGAGCACTGGGTGTGGTGCATAAACAATGAATTCTGTTACACTGAAAATAAATTTAAAAAAAAAAAGAAAATATTGTGGATTTGGTTCCAGACCACCACAATAAAGTGAGTGAAATGAATTTTCTGATTCCCCAGTGTAAGGGCCTGCCCCTCCCAGAGGAACTGGCTTGTGGACCCTGGATGTAAGGGCGGGGCAGGCCGGGTGGAGACGTCCAATCGGTGGGGCACGCGTATATCCACTGGGGTGAATTGGGATTCAATTGGCCGCCTGTGTAGGGGCGGGGCTCAACCACCCCCATAAAGGTTGGTCTGCGAGGCTGTTGAGAGAGCAGAAGAAGGAGAGCTGTCAGAGGAAGAAGAAGGAAGAAGAAGAAGCAGAAGGAGAAGAGTGCGCTGCGGCAGCGGCAGCAGCAAAAGAGTTGGCGGGAGCAGCAGAGAGAAGAGTCGGCAGGAGCAGAAGAGCTGTAACAGCTCTTGTAAGAGGTATCAAGCGACGCCAGTGGTCCCGCCGCTGGCGGCCCTGAGCCGCCAGCATCCCAACGCCTACAGCCCCGAGCCGCCGGCGGTCCAGACACCAGCAGTCTAGACACCAGCGGCCCCGACGCCAGCGGCCCCGCCCACACACCGTGATCCTTGGCAGCGGCGCTGCGGGGAACGGCCTAGACTCCAGCAACCTCGCCGCGAACCCTGAGCCACTGCCTCGCCGGAGCTGTGTCATTCCGGGGAGCGGCTTCATCTGAGAAGAGGCCTCCTCGGTGAGCAGACCTGCAGGAGCAACTTCGTCAGGGAAGAGGCCTCCAGAGCGGCCTCACCGGAGCAGCCTTGTCCAGGGAGCAGCCTCGCCGGAGCAACCCCTGTCCGGGGAGCAGCCCTGTCCGGGGAGTGGCCTCACCAGAGCGGCCTTGTCTGGGGAGTGGCCTCGCCAGAGCAGCCTTGTTCTGGGAGCAGCCCGGTCCAAGGAACGACCTCATTAGCAGCAGCCTCGACTGGGGAGTGGCCTCATCGGTGAGCGGCCTCCTCCGGAGCAGTGGCCTCCTCTGGGGAGCAGCCTTGTCAGAGTGGCGTCATGGGGAGCAGAGTCTGTGTCATCGGTGTTGTCCTCCTTGTCATCGTCGCTGTCGTCATCACCTCTTCGTCATTTCGAGTGGCCTCGTCCTGGGAGTGGCTTCCTCCAGAGTGGCCTCTTCTTGGGAGCGGCCCTGTCCGGGGAGCGACCTCACCAGCAGCGGCCTTCTTGGGAGTGGCCTCTTCTTGGGAGCAGCTCCAACTGGGGAGCGGCCTCATCTGCGGAGAAGCCTCGCCCGGAGCGGCCTTCTTGGGAGTGACCTTGTCAGAATCGTCGTCGTCGTCGTCTTTTCATAAGAGACAGCCCTGACTGGTCAGTTTGATTTTTGATGCTTGGCGTGAAATAAAGCTTTGTTTGATTTTCGCTTTATATCAGTCTCGTTCCTTTGATCACGGACCCTAACACCCAGTGCATATAAAAGTTATATTTACATTATACTATAGTCTATTAAATATGCAATAGCATCATATGTAAAAAATATATACATATCTTAAGGTAAATATATTTCATTGCAAAAAGATGCTAATCGGGGTGCCTGGGTGGCTCAGTGGGTTAAGGCCTCTGCCTTCGGCTCAGGTCATGATCCCAGGGTCCTGGGATAGAGCCCTGCATCGGGCCCTTTGCTCGGCAGGGAGCCTGCTTCCCTCTCTCTCTCTGCCTGCCTCTCTGCCTGCTTGTGATCTCTGTCAAATAAATAAAACAATAAAAATCTTTAAAAAAAAGATGCTAATCATCATCTGAGCTTTCACCAAATTGTAATCGTTTTTGCTGGTGGAACATTTTGCTTCAATGCTGCTGACTGATTAGATTAGTGGTTGCTGAGGGTCGGGGTCGCTGTGGCAATTTCTGAAAATAAGACAAAAGTGAAGTTTGTTCCATCAATGGACTCTCCGTTTCACAAGAATTTCTCTGCAGTATGTGATGCTGTTTTTTAAAGAGTTATTTATGTATTTATTTGAGTTGGTGGGGGAAGAGGCAGGTGGAGGACAGACAGAATCCCAAGAAGACACCCTGCTGTGCATGGAACATCTCACAGGACTCGATCCCACCACTGTGAGATCATGATCTGAACCAAAAGCAAGAGTCAGATCTTAACAACTGAGCCACCCAGATACTCCACATGTGATTCTGTTTGATTTTACCTAGGAACTTCTTTCAAAATTGGAGTCAATCAGTCAACCCTCTCAAACACTGCTGCTGCTTTATCAACTAAGTTTATGTAACATTCTAATTCTTTGTTGTCATTTCAACTTTCACAGCATTTTCAATGGGAGTAGTTTCCATCTTAAGAAACCACTGTGTTTGCTCACCCATAAGAAGCAAGTCCTCAACTATTAAAATTTTTATCAAGAGATTGTGCCAATTCAGTCACACCTTCAGGCTCCATTTCTCATTCTAATTCTCCTGTGATTGCCATCACACTTGCAGATATTTCTTCCACTGAAGTATCCCTCAAAGCCAGCCATGAAGGTGGTAATCAGCTTCTTCAAAACCTCTATTAATGTTGATAGTTTGACCTCTTCCCATGAATCCAAATGTTTTTAATGGCATCCAGAATGGTGAATCCTTTCCAGAAGGTTTTCAATTTACTTTGCCCAGATCTATCCAATGAATCATCATCTGCGGCAGCTGTAACCTTACAAAATGTATTTCTTCAATAACAAGACTTGAAAGTCAAAATGACTCCTTGATCCATTGGCTGCAGAATGGATGTTGTGTCAGCAGGCATGAGAACAACATTAATTTCACTGTACATCTCCATAAGAGTTCTTGGGTTATGAGGTGCATTGTCAATGAGCAGCATTATTTTGAAAAGATCTTTTTTTTTTTTTTCCTGAGGAGTACATCTCAACAGTGGGCTAAAATATTCAATAAACCATGTTGTAACCAGATGTTCTGTCATCCAGGCTCTGTTTTTCCATTTACAGAGCACAGGCAGAGTAGATTTACAATTATTCTTAAGGGCCCTCGGATTTTTGGAATTGTAAACAAGCATTGGCTTCAACTTAAATATGTATTATGTGTTGGCTAACTGAATTTAAATAAATTTTCTAGAAAGGAAAAAAAAAAGTCACCAGCTGCATTAATGCCTATTGAGAGAGAAAGCCTGTGCTTTGAAGCCAGGCTTTGATGTCTCCTCTTTAGCTGTGAAAGAGGCATCTTTTTCCAACAGAAGGCTATTCTGTCTACATTGAAAGTAAGTTCTTTGGTGTACCACCTTCATGAATTATTTTAGCAAGATCTTCTGGAAAATTTACTGCTTCCACTTGCACTGTTTTTTAAGTTTTTATTTAAATTCCAGTTAGTTAACATACAGTGTAAGTTTAAGATATACAATATAGTGACTCAACACTTCCTTAGAACACTGAATGCTCATGACAAATGCATTCCTTAATCCCTATCACCCATTTAACCCATTCCCCCACCCACCTCCCCTCTGTTAGTCATCAGTCTGTTCTCTATAGTTGAGTCTATTTCTTAATTTGCCTCTTTTTCCCTTTGCTTGTTTGTTTTGCTTCTTAGATTCCACATGAGATTGCAATCATATGGCATTTGTCTTTCTCTGGCTTATGGAGCTTACCCTAATACTCTTTAGCTCCATCCACATCATTCCAAATGGCAAGATTTCATTCTTTTTTATGGCTGAGTAATATTCCATTGTGTATATATCCAACATCTTCTTTATCTATTGATCAGTTGATGGACACTTGGGCTGTTTCCATAGTTTGACTATTACAGATAATGCTGCTATAAACATTGGGTTGCATGTATCCCTTTGAATTATCATTTTTGTATTCTTTAGATAAATGCTTAGTAGATCCAACTCCTGGATCATAGGGTATTTCTTTTTCTTTCTTTTTTTAAAGATGTATTCATTTGAGAAAGCACAAAGCAGGGGGAGGGGCAGAGAGAGAGAGAGAAAGCAGACTCCCTGCTGAGCTTAGAACCCAGCACAGGGCTCAGTTTTCTGATCCTAAGACCATGAACTGAGCTGAAACCAAGAGTCAGGTTCTTACTGACTGAGCCACCCAGGAACTATATATATTTATCCCCCCCACCAACCCCAAAAGAGAGAGAGATGGGGGAGGGGCAGAGGGAGAAGGAGAGAGGAGAGAAACTCTTAAGCAGGGTCAACACCTATGGTGGAGCCTGACATGGGGCTCAATCTCACAAACCTGAGATCATGACCTGAGCTGAAATCAAGAGTCATAGTCTTAACCAACTGAGTCACCCAGGAACTTCAAGTAATTCTGGTTTTTGTTTGTTAGTTTGTTTTTAACTTTTTGAGGAACCTCCATACTGTTTTCCAGAGTGGCTGTACCAGTTTGCATTCCCAACAGTGGAAGAGTGTTCACCTTTCTCCACATCCTCGCGAACACCTGTTGTTTCTTGTGCTGTTGATTTTAGCTATCCTAACAGGTATGAAGTGATATCTCATTGTAGTTTTGATTTGTATTTCCGTGATGATTAGTGACGTTGAGCATCTTTTCACGTGTCTGTTGGCCATCTGTATGTCTCCTGTGGTAAAATGTCTATTCATGTGTACTTGTACCTTTAAGTCACGGAGATGGCATCTTTCCTTAAACCTCATGAACCAACCTCTGCTACGTTCAAAGTTTTCTTCTGCAGCTTCCTCACCTCTCTCAGCCTTCACAGAATTGAAGTTAAGGTCTTCCTCTGGATTAGGTTTTGGCTTAAGGGAATGTTGTAGCTTGTTTGATCTTCTATCTAGACCACTAAAACCTTCTCCATATCAACAAGGCTGTTTCACTTTATCATTCATGTGTACACTGGAATAGAACTTTCTGTAACTGACTGTGAACAATCAATTGAGATAACTCACTACCTTCAGACCAGCCTGGAATAGACCTTTCAATTTCCTTCAAGAACTATTCCTTTGCATTCACACACAACTTGGTTGTTTGGTGCAAGAGGCCTAGCTTTCAACCAATCTTGATTATCAACATGACTTCCTAACTAAGCTTAGTCATTTTTAGCTTTACTTCTTTTGTTACATGAACACTTAGAGGCCATTGTAGGGTTATTTCATTATTGTTGTTTCTCAGGTAATAGGGAGCCCCAAGGAAAGGGATTGAGATAGGAGAACAGCCAGTCAGTGGAGTCAAGAACACACCCAACATTTACTGATTAAGTTCACTGTCTAAATAAATATATATATACATATATATACATACATACATATATATGTATATGCATACATATATATTTTTTTAAGTAGGTCCCATGCCCAGCATGGACCCCAATGTGGGGCTTGAGCTCATGACCCTGAGATCAAGACCCAAGCTAAGATCAAGAGTTGGACACTTAACTGACTGAGCCACCCAGACACTCCTGGTTTACTGTCTTATATGGGACAATTCATGGTGCCCCCAAACAATTACGGTAGTAACATCAAAGATCACAGATCACAGATCACCATAACGAATACAATAATAATGAAAATTTGAAATGTTGTAAGAATTACCAAAATATGACACAGAAACAAAGGGAGTTAATGCTGTTGGGTAAATGGTGGCAGTAGACTCGCTCAACATAGGGTTGCCACAATCCTTCAATTTGTTAGGGGGAAAATAAAACATTATCTATGAAGTGCAATAAAGCAAAGTTCAATAAAACAAAGTATGCCTGGGGGCAACTGAGTAGCTCAGTCAGTTAAATGTCTGCCTTCAGCTCAGGTCATGATCCCAGGAGCCTGGGATCTAGCCCTGCATTGGGCTCCCTGGTCAGCAGGAAGCCTGCTTCTCCCTCTCCCTCTGCCATTCCTCCCATCCCCAGCTTGTGCTTTATGGCTCTATCTCTCTGCCAAATAAATAAATAAAATCTTAGAGGAAAAAAGGTATGCCTGTATTACTGAGTGATTTAAAAAATGAGCTATCAAGCCATGAAAAAATAGGGAGGAATCTTAGATTCAAATTGCTAAGTCAAAGAAATCAGTTGAAAAGGCTACATACTCTAAGATTCCAATTATATATCACTCTAGAAAAGGCAAACTATGGACAGAGTTAAAAGATCAGTGGTTACCAGAAGTTTGATGAGGGAGGTGGGATTAATAGGTCAAGCACAGGGCATTTTTCAAGGCAGTGAAATTATTCTAGGGACGCCTGGGTGGCTCAGTTGGTTAAGCAGCTGCCTTCGGCTCAGGTCATGATCCCAGTGTCCTGGGATCGAGCCCCGCATCGGGCTCCTTGCTCAGCAGGGAGCCTGCTTCTCCCTCTGCCTCTGCCTGCCTCTCTGCCTACTTATGATCTCTGTCTGTCAAATAAATAAAATCTTAAAAAAAAAAAGAAAGAAATTATTCTATATGATACTCTAATGGTGGAAAGTTGAAATTATGCATTTGTCAAAATGCACAGAACTATAAAATATAAAGAATAAACCCTAAAATAAACTATAGACTTCAGTTAATATTAATGTATCAACATTAGTTCATCAATTTTAACAAATCTACCACACTAATGCAAAACGTTAATAACAGAAAAGTGGAACAAGAGAGAAGGCACATAGGTCCTCCCTCTATTCTGTGGAATTTTTCTCTAAACCTACAATTGTTTTACTGAGGTAAAAAAAAAAAAAAATTAAATGTTAGCAAAGAAAATCCAACAACACATTATGTAAATAACATCACAACTAAGTGGAATTTATCCCAGATATGCAGAATGCAATATTAGGAATTACAATAGTATAATTTACTGAATCAGTAGATCTAAGAAGAAAAGCATGACTTTTTCCCTATGTGCAAAAAGACCCTCCAATAACATTCAAAACACATTCCAGGTTTTTAAAAATAATTAAAATGGGAATTGGTAACTATATCTCTAACCTTACCATGTGTGTACATTAAATTATATCATCTTATATCATATACATATTACATATATATATACACACATACATAACCATGTTAGGGACACATCTTATTTAATGGGGAAACAATGGAAGAATTCCAATAAAGGTCAGGATCAAGGCAAGGATGCTTTCTATTTTTACTACTTTTCAACATTACATTGGAGGAATTACCCAATGCAGTCAGAGAAAGGAAAACAAATAGAGGTATATAAATTGGAAAAGAAGTATAAACAATTCAGTAAGGTGTCAGCACAAAAATTTACACACAAAAATCAACAATCTTCATACATATGAATAATAACAAGTTAGAAAGTGTTAAGGAATAGGAGATCCTATCCACAAACAGGATAAATTCTTAAAAGCAAACCTGTTAAATGTACAAAATCTCATGTGTGGAAAAATTTAATGTACTTCTAAAAAGCACAAATGTGGACTTGAACCAGTGGAAAACTTCCCTTTGACTTAATATCATCAAGATGTCCGTTGTCTCCAAATTAATAGGTAAGTTAATATGATCCCAATAAAATACCACCATTTTATGGATGCAGACAATAATAATAGAAAAATAAACATGCAAGAATAAAGAGGAAATCACATTATTCCCATTTAAATGACTACCATATAAACAAACAAACAAAAAAACAAAGTAACAAGTGTTGGCAAGGATATGGAGAAACTGGAATTCTTCTGCACTCTTGGTAGGAATGTAAAATAGTGCCCTGGTATGAAAAACAGCATTAAGTTTCCTCAGAAAACTAATGGAATGACTGTGTGATCCAGCAATCCCAGTTCTGAGTATATATCCAAAAGAAATGAAAGCAGGATCTTACCCTCTTCACTACCTAGTAGTTGTACTTGATTCTGGCTTGATGTCAGTGACTTTTAGTGACTTAGTGATGTGCTGATGGCAAAATGACTCTCTTCCCTAAATTATTTGATGTAACAGTAATAACAATTCACTAATTATAAGCCAGTTATTGTTCCAAGCATATTTTAAGATTTTAACTAATCTATACACCCAACATGGGGCTCAAACTCACAACCCTGAGATCAAGAGTTGTATGCTCTACTAACTGAAGCAGCCAGGCACCCCTCCATTTCATTTTTTTTAAGTAAATTCTACCCCCAACCTGGGGTCAAGTTCACAACCCCAGCCAGGCACCCCCGATTTCTTTCTTTTTTAAGTAAACTCTACCCCCAATGTGGGGCTCAAGCTCAAAACCCCGAGAACAAGAGTTGGGATGCTCTACCGAGGCAGCCAGGCAATCCTCCATTTCATTTTTTTAAAGTAAACTCTACCCCTAACATGGGGCTCAAACTCGCAACCCCGAGACCAAGAGTCATATGCTCTATCAACTGAGCAGCTAGGCACCCCAATCCAGTGATTTTTCACAAGAACTATACAAAATAGGTGCTATGAATGTCAATGTTTTAGAAATCAAAAAAGCCGTGTAACAGAGGTAGGGTTATTTGGCTATGGTTACAAAGTGTGGAGGTTCTAGAACCAGGGCTTGAACCCCCATACTCTGCCTCTAGAGCCCAGACCCTTAACCTCTACACTAAAGGGCAAGAGGGGTTAAAGCAGGATCTTGATGAGATATTTGTACAGCCATCTCCGTAACAGAATTCACCATAGTCAAGGGGTGGAGGCAACCCAAGTGTCTACCAGTGAATGAATGGATAAACAAAATGTGGTGTATACATATGTGTATGTATGTATGTGTGTCACACACATACACA